CACTGAGCCGCTGGGTGGTTCGAACCGTCAATCATTTGGTTAGCAGCCGAGTGTTTAACTATTGTGCCAGTAGGGCTCCTTTCAGGGCCCACAGGGTTTAATTTTAGTATTTCTTTTTTAAGCAGTTGTGTTTGTCAGAATGAATACTTCATGATTTTTATTCTTTCTTAGAGGTCTTTAAAATATCAAAGAGACAATCTACTTATTAAAAAAAAAAAAAACAGATATGTAATTACCATCTGGATCCACTGGAACTTTTTACACATCTAAGATACGTAATAGGATTTTTTTTCAGTTACGGTAAAAATATATATAATAAAACATCTGCAATTCAACAATTTTACATGTATAATTTAGTGATGCTGATCACACTCGTCATTTTATGCAACCATCAACACTATCCTTTTCCAAATTCTTCCACAACCAATGACTCCCGCTTTCCTCTTCCCTCCCATCTCTGGTAACACTAATAAACTTTGGTCTCTATACATTTGCTTATTTCATATTTGTGGAATCATACAATATTCTTCCTTTTGTGATTGACTTAATTCCCTCAGCATAATGTTTTCAAGGTTTATTCATGTTGTAGCACGTATGAGGACTTCTTTTCTATTTAAGGCTAAGTAATATTCCATAATATTTATGTACCACATTTTGTTTATCCATTCACCTGTTGATGGACATTTAAGTTAGTTCCACCTTTTGGCCTTTGTGAATATTGCTGCAATGAACACTGGTATATAAGTTTCTGTTTGTGTTCTTGCTTTCCATTTTTTTGGTTATACACCTAGGCTTGGGATTGGTGGGTCATATGGTAGTTCTATGTTTAACTTTTTGAGGAACCACCAAACTGTTTTCCACAACACCTGTACCAACCTAATTGCATCTGATTGATCTTATTTTTCCTATATGTTGAAATATCTGTTATTTCATCACCCTAGGGATTATTTTATTATTCATTAATTATCCACAATGATGTTAAAAAAGACTAAATAAGACAATGAAAGAATAATGGAGAGATAGTATCAATCTAAAATTTAGTGATAATGGTGAAATGGTTCCTTGTCAATAAAATCTCAAACTATGAATCTTTAGATGTCAATATTCTAATGAATTTTCTCAAACTTAAGAACTGATGAGTGAACAATGTATTTCTAAAAACAAAAAGTAAATATGGTATTCTTAACAAGTTACTCATGCAAGAGGGAAGGACTTCACACAATAGTTTGACAAGCACCTGCATTGTTTTGCCAAAAGGATGTATGATTGTATTCTTTCATCTTTTATGATGTTTATGTGTCAACATTTCTTTCATATAGTTTATAAGCAGACAATGCTGACTTACGTGTAGATATAAAGTGACTGGAAAGAAACAGACGATGTAGAAATTAACACAATTCACTGGACTGGAGAAATAAAAATAAAAAGTGTTCTTTGTACTCAGATGATAAATGGTGGTAACTGTTTTTCCTGATATTTTGAAGATTAAAGAGTTGTAATGCAGAGTCGACATTTAGTTGATGCCCCCAAATACTTCTATTTCAAAATATCTCAAAGGAGGAATAAAGTTTTTTAAGGGTAAAAGTAAATACTCTATTTAAAATAATTTAACACAACAATTTTAAGCCACTCACTCTCCCCAAACGATAGCAAAATAATTTTGCATTTAATATCTGACTTGGTTTTAGAGTTTTTACCTGTTTTATCTTATTTAATTATACAATTAATTAATAAGTTATTATAATACTAGCTCTCTATCAGTTATTATAATACTTGCTAGCACTCTATCAGTTAGGCATGTGGCCTTACAGATCTTTTCTATACAGTCACACATGTGTACCAATAATATTATTCTGTATTTTTAAGATTAATGATACTATATGTATATTTATGTACTTGCTTTTTTCACTCAACAATCCATCTTACAAACTTTCCCACGTAAGTATGTACAGATATACTTCATTCTTCTTAAATTGTCACATGCTAATTCACAGTATGGCTGTTACCACTGTTAAAGGTAACAGTGGGCATTTAAGCTGTTTCCAGTTATCACTGCAATAAACAATACTGCACACGTGCAAGTATTTCTGTGGAAACAGACTTTGAGACATGGATTTCCTTCAGCACATGGTTTGGGGATCTATAAAACTACTTTGCAAAGTAGTTGAACCAATTAAGAATATAATTAAGAGTTAAGTAATTGCTTGTTTCAAGATCTGGCTCTCCTATTTACAGGCTATCATATTTTTACACAAATAACGTGCATCTTCTACGTTTGTTTGCCAATCGTGCCCCCCCATGAGGTAAGCGTGCTATGCTAATTTTTTTTTTATAGCAACATGTTAAAAAAATTGGCATAGTGGTGCTTATAAAAATACTTCATCGGGGGGAGGGTGCAGTTGGAAACAAACGTAGAAAGCACACATTATTTGAGTGAAAATACAGTATATAATTTCAGGAAAATTACTTAAATTCTCCCTGTCTTAGTTTCCTTACCTGTAAAACAGGGGAGTAATAGCAGCTGCCTCTTAGAGCTGAGGAATAACTTATTTAATACCCCATGAAGCACACAAAATAGTTCCTTGTAAGTAGTATTGTTGTTAATTGCCATTAAGTCAGCTCTGACTCATCGCAACCTTACGTAAAACAGAATGAAACACTGCCCATTCCTGCGCCATCTTCACAATCTTTGGTATGTTTGAACTCATTGTTGTAGCCATCACGTTAATCCATCTTATGGAGGGTTTCCCTCATTTTTGCGGACCCTCTACTTTACCAAATATGATATTCTTTTCTGGCGACTGATCTTTCCTAATGACGTGTCCAAAGTAAGCAACACAAGTCTCACCATCCTCATTTCTAAGGAGCACGCTGGCTATACTTCCTCCAAGAAGGATTTGTTTCACCAACATCATAATTCAAATGCATCAATTCTTCAGTCTTCTTATTTTATTGTCTACATTTCACATGCATATAAAGAGAATGAAAAAACCATGGCTTGGGTCAGGTACACCTTACTCATCAAAGTGACATTTTTGCTTTTTAACACTTTAAGGAGGTCTTTTGCAGCAGGTTTTCTAATGCAATATGTCATTTGATTTCCTGACTGCTGCTTCTGTACGAATTGATTGTTGATCCAAGTAGAATGAAATCCTTGGCAACTTCAATTTCTTCACCATTATGAGTAGTAAATGCTGAATAAATGTCTGTTATTACTTGTGAGGCGGATCTTCTTTTCACAATTTATGGACCATTTATATTTGCTCATTTGCAAATTTTCGGTTATCATTTGTCCATTTCCAATAAGTCATTAATTTTTTCTTACTGATATCTAATATTATATATTTTATTACATTATAATATGTTATAGATTTTGCAAACATTTTTCCTTAATTTAGTACTTGTTTGTATGGTTTATTTTACTGAGTAGAAGTATTTAATTTTAAAGTAAGCAAATTATTCATCTTTTCTATAAGACTTGCGTTTTCTGTTTTATCTAAATATTTAACACTTTTATATATTTTTAGATATTTAGTTCTTTAATCAATGTGGAATTTAGTTTTGCAAATGAAGTGAGATAGGCAGTCTAGCCTTATTTTTTTCCAAATAAACAGCTAATTTTTCCAATGCAACTCCTTCTTCTACTGATTTGAAATATCATCTTTTTTTTTAAACTTTTTTTTCCAGTTGTACTGCTATTCTCACTTTATTTTTTTAATTGATGTAATTAAATGAAGTTTACATTTCAAGTTAGTATCCCATACAGAAATTTTTTTTTTTTAACATACATTGTTATGAGACCCCAACTGCTCACCCCATTCTGTGACAGCACACTCCTCCCCTCCGCCCCTGATTCCCCATGAACATTCAGCCAGCTCCTAACTCTCTCTGCCTTCCCCTCTCACCTCTGGACAGAAGCCGCCCCTTTGGTCTCTTTTATCTACCTGTCTAAGAGGCACATTCTTCACGAGTATGACTTTATGTCCCACAGTCCAGCCCAATCCCTGTCTGAAGAGTTGGCCTCAGAAATCGTTTTAGTTCTGGGGTGATGGAGAGACCAGGGGCCATGCTTTCCGGGGCACCTCCAGTCTTAGTCAGACCATTAAGTCTGGTCTTCTTACTAGTATTTGAGTTCTGCCTCCCATCGTTCTACTGCTCCATCAGGGACCTGAAATATCATCTTTAATCATAACCAAATCTTTAAGCTCTCTAATCTGTTCCACTATATGTTTAGTCTGTAACATTACTACTTTGTTGTAAATAATTATAATAGCTATAGACTGTATTTTGCTATATAATAGAGCAAATCTCTTATCTTGTTCTTTCTTAATGCTAGTTAACTACTTTTGAGCATTTATTCTTCCATATAAGTTTTAGAATCATGTTCTTGTCTTCTATGAAAAATTCTTTTGTAATTTACATGTCTTACAGGTTCAACCACCATCTTTATGCTGATGCCTGTAAAATCTTTATGACCAACCCACATCCCTATCCTGAGATCAGAGCTTTCTAATCAGCTAACTGATATCTTCAAATGTATGTTGGACTCAGTAGCATTTATCCTTGCCTCTCAAACCAGCTCTTCTTTCCATAATCCACAACATACCATCATCTTCCCAATCAACCAAGCCAAGAGCCAGGGAGTGGTACTCTTCTTCCTTACTGCCCCACACCTTCCCAGCCAACCAGTCAAGACCTGTTGAATTCATCTCCTTACTGTTTTTCATAACTCTCAGAATTCTTCCATCCCTTTAGCAGCTATTCAAAGGTCTCTAGCATCTGACTCATTATTTAACAAAAACATAAGGTGGCCAAGTCTTAGCTAATAGAATATATAATTCTTTTCTGTAGTATGTCTTACTTTTGGGAAAAAAGTTTTCAATTTGGAGCTGGCAGTAATATATACAAAAAGACAAAGTTTTAGGTAATCTATCCTATCAGCAACAAACTCAGTGATAAATACTTCCCCTCAAGTTAATAAAAAAAAGTAAGAGACTTACTTAAATGGAGTAAACAAAAAAGATAATGTAACTTCTTTTTTCTGAGTCATTTTCACCTAGGAACCAAGAATGAAAACATTTTAATATATTATAAATGAGAAAAAATTAACTGATTTGATTTTGAAATATAAAGATCCATTACAATCGTTCTTTAGGGATGGTTAAGTACTTCGAAATAAATAGAATTTTGTGTTACTATATTATTTCATCAATATTAAAAATTTTTAATTAAACTGAGAATTAAGCATGTCAAGTCTGCAAAATAACATACCGTCATGTGACTAAAACTGTATTTCTTAGAACTCTTAATAAACAAAAGAAACCAATCTGAATTAACAGCTTTAAGAAGGTTAACTGAGTTTCAGTTAAAGGTCCTCCTTTTTAATTCCATAATGTATACACTAATGTACATGGAATGACAAGTAATGTTGTAATCTCTAATTCTACTTCTACAGGGAAAATCCCATACAGACATGGCTGCTAGTCTTCATAAAAATATGTGGTAATCTTACAATGAGGGACACTCCTCAAAGGTAATTCTAAACCCAAAAATTGACTCACGGAATCTGCACCTCAGAAATGTGTAACTTTATATACAAAATTTAAAGTAATCTGTTATAGAAAATCATGTATTAAAACACAAAATATTTTCACTTAATATATTTGATTATAAAATTACAGTGCTGTCTGCTTTTGTGTGTGAGATTTTTTTTATACCTTGAACTGTTCGAGAATCTGGACTGCATTTGTAAACATGCTCTCTGCTTTGAACAGATCAGTGTTGTTCAGATAATCCAAGGGAAGGGTTCCCTGTAAATAATAAAGAATCCACAATTAAGCATTACATATTTAGAAAAACATATACAGGAAAATATAGTTTTAAATGCAATTAAATTTTTTATACTGAAACAAACACGTATAAAAGTGTAAATTCTACTGGGCAATAATTTTTTTTTTTAACTTTTAGAAATTTTATTCCTTACCACTGAATTAAGGGGAAAGGGAACTCCAATAAGAGAAGCCATCAGTGGTGCAATATCAGCCTACAAACAGAAAAAGTTTAATTCTAAGAAGTCTACAGATGCCAACAAGAAAACTAAACAATTTAATCCAACTATATTTTGGAGCATAACCATGATATTTGTTATAATCTATTACCTTTAAAACATTTAATATACTCTAGATAATGACCTCTAAAAATGTCACTTGCTATAGGTACATGAACTTAGGAAAAATAATTTTGAAAGAAACCATTAAGAGTCCCAAAAGTAAAACATAGTACAGAAAAGAATTATGTATTCTATTAGCTAAGAACTTGACCACCTCATGTAACAGTTTTTTTCAGTATTATGCAATAGGATATCCTAACTAGACAGAAAATAAAAAAGCAATAGTACACATTAACTCCAGAAAAATACATATATATATGTATATGAAGCCTGAGTCAGCCAGTGAAGTTCAGAAAATACATGACACAGAGAAGAAGTTCTTTAGCCAACAAACCCCAAATTCTGCTTCAGACATCTCCCCTTCATAGCCCAATTTCTCAAAAGAACTGCTCAGGGTTTCTGTCTCCACTTCCTCATGTCCTCACTATTCCTTATCCCACTGAAACTTGCTTTAATTTCTTATCATTCCATAGCAGCGCTCCCTAAGAAAGCTAACAACCTCCATTTTTCTAAATCTAATTGACTGTTTTATATTGTTGTTGTTAGTGTTAGGTGCTCTCAACTCAGTGCCGACTCACAGTGACCCTACGTACAACAGAACAAAACATTGCCCAGTCCTGCACCATCCTCACAATTGTTGCTATGTTTAAAGTCATTGTTGCAGCCAATGTCAATCCATATCATTGAGGGTCTTCCACTTTTTCACTGATCCTCTACTCTACCAAGCATGATGTCCTTCTCCAGGGATTGGTCTCTCCTGATAACATGTCCAAAGTACGTAAGAGGAAGTTTTCCCATCCTCGCTTCTAAGAAGAATTCTGGCTGTGCTTCTTTCAAGACAGATTTGTTTCTTCTTCTGGCAGTCCATGGTATATTCAATATTCTTCAAGAACACCATAAATCAAAGGCATCAATTCTTCTTCAGTCTTCCTTATTCATTGTCCAGCTTTCACACGCATATAAGGCGACTGAAAATACCACGGCTTGGGTTAGACGCACTTTAGTCCTCAAAGTGATAGCTTTGCTTTTTAACACTTTGCCCAATGCAATATATCATTTGATTTCTTGTCTGCTGCTTCCGTAAGTGTTGGCTGTAGAACCAAGCAAAATGAAATCTCCTTGACAACTTCAACATTTTCTCCATTTATCATGATGCTTTTTATTGGTCCAGTTGTGAGGATTTTTGTTTTCTTTATGTTGAGGTGTAATCCATACTGAAGGCTGTGGCCTTTGATCTTCATCAGCAAGTGCTTCAAATCCTTTTACTTTCAGCTAGCAAGGTTGTGTCATCTGATGCCTTGTTCTTCTTCATATAGTCCAGCTTCTTGGATTATTTGCTCAGCATACAGACTAAATAAGTATCATGAAAGGATACAACCCTGACGCAAACCTTTCTTGACTTTAGATCACGCAGTATTGCCTTGTTCTGTTCAAACGACTGCCTCTTCATCTATGTACAGGTTCCTCATGAGCACAATTAAAAGTGTTCTGGAATTCCCATTCTTCACAATGTTATCCATAATTTGTTATGATCCACACAGTCGAA